GCGCGCGTAAAACATGCACGGAACCTGCTTTTGCTTGAAGCTTCGGCTAGATGTCAAGACCGTGGGCTTAAGCTTGAAGTTCTTTTCAAACGCCTCACGATTTCGAAGTTGCTGGTCCACATCTATCGCGTTCTTTGCCTATTCCCCCGCTTCTTGTTCAGGGCGCTGCCTCTGAAGTGGTTCTCAGCCGCATAACCTTTTTTGGAGAGCGGGACGAGCTGCACTATTGGCATCAGCTAACCGCCATCCGAATCAACAACATTATGGCTCCGCGCCAGGCCGCTACCCTTGGCGCGGCCGGCAGCAGTGGAGCCCCGACATCGCCTACTCCCTCAACACCTCCGACAGCGCGGCAATCTGCGGCCGCAACACAGGTACAGGCGAGCTCGCATCAACCCGATTCTTGCAGCGCCAGTGCAGCGCAAAGTGGGGGCCCCTGCCCTAGGTGCGGTAGCTGCACCAAAGCCCATTGCCACGTCTTCATCAAGAAGAAGATTACCATGCGGGAAGTCCTTCGATCCTTCTATTCTCATGCAACAGTTCTTTTGAGATCGAGATCGAGATCGCGTGACATCCTCTTCGTCTTTGGCGGCCTCAGCTCATTGGCGTGGCAAGCTCCTCACAGGGTAGTCCCCGCGTACAAGATTGAGTGCGCCTTCCAGAACCCCTCCCACCGATTGGCCAGTGATCTTGGCACCCAAAAGCGCAACATTTCCGACAGTCCCCAACTCTCCAAGTTTCAAAAACCCTTACGGTTTGCCATCGGACGTGCGGAAAACCAACACATGCTTGGCCATCCTTTGTGCTTCGCCAGCAGGCCCAGACAAGTCTTTGACATCAGCCACACCTGCTGCCACTCTTGCCCCTGGCAACGTGCCTGAAAGGAAGCAGTCAGACAGGTTCTCTCTCAACCTTTTTCCAGGTGGCAAGGCATCAGGCTCATACGAACTTCTGTTTTTGGATTGCATCCCATCACAGTTTGAGCATAGTGACAGGCAGGCACATGCCCAAATACACAAGGCGCATGCAAATGATTTCAGAACCATTCAGGCTTGTAGACATGCAGGCAGGCACGCAGGCATACGTTGTTTTGCACACATAGGTGCTGCCAAGCAAAAGGGTCAGTATTGCAACTCTTGGTCTAAGCCAGCAACAAGCCAGCAAGGAGTTGTGAGGCCATGCAGGTGTGTGCGGGGGCTCACTGCCTGCTGCCTGCCTGCCTTCCTCCCTGGCCTGCGTGCCTGCGTGCCTCGTGCGCCTGCGCCTGCGTGCCTGCGCGCCTGCCTGCCACGCCTGCCTGCCTGCCTGCCTGTCTGTCTGTCTGCCTTGCGGGCGTGCGTGCGCGCTGGTGCGCGTGACTGTGCAATTGCGTGTGTGGGTGGGTGGGGCGGGGCCGGGGGCGCCTGCCTGCCTGCCTGTGCCTGCGTGTGCCTGCCTGTGCCTGCCTGTGCCTGCGTGTGCCTGCGTGTGCCTGCCTGTGCCTGCCTGTGCCTGCTGCGCCTGTCTGTGCTGCGCCTATCTCTGCCTGTGTGTGCCTGCCCGTGCCCGCCTGCCTGCCTGCCAGGCAGGCAGGCAGGCAGCCAACCAGGCAGGCAGGCAGGCAGGCAGGCACGCAGGCACGCACGCACGCTGGCACGCACGGCACGCACGGCACGCACGGCACGCAGGCAGGCAGGCAGGCAGGCACGCAGGCACGCAGACACGCAGGCACGCACGCAGGCACGCAGCCGAATGTTTCCTGCTTGCCACTAACTCTGCAATGTTAATCATTATAGCCGTAGCAGTGTGCTCAAGCAAGACACACTCTGGTGATCTCCCTTGCACAGCATGCAAGAAGAACACATCCTTGACGCATTGCACCATACCGTGGCGCGAAGCTACATAGATCTGGAGGACCTGCATTTAGTGATGCTTAGCATACGTTTCTGGTGCAGGACCATAGCAAATTACATAACATGCTCGACAATCGCAGCAAAGGCATTGCTGGATACCGCATGGCAGGCAAGTACTTGGGCGTCATTCAGCCCTTCTCAGCGCTGCTGGCAATTCCAAGATTCCGCACAGCCAATAGCTTGCATGCCTACATGGACCCCTGCTTGAGAATGGGAAGCCGGGCAGGCAGGCAGGCAGGCAGGCAGGCAGGCAGGCAGGCAGGCAGGCACTCGCAGGCGCGCAGGCAGGCAGGCAGGCAGGCAGGCAGGCAGGCACGCAGGCACGCAGGCAAGCAGGCTCGCAGGCAGGCACGCAGGCACGCAGGCACGCAGACACGCACGCACGCAGGCACGCAGGCACGCACGCACCCCCCCCACGCGCATGGAACACGCAAGCGCGACACGCTCACGCGCGCACACTCGCACGCAACGCAAGGCATGCAACGCACGCCTGCACGAACACACGCGCGCGCACGCTAACACAAACGCACACCTACGCACCGAGGCGTCAAACATCTCCTCATAATCAATAATCAAATCGATTTATACGCATGCTGCATTGCCGCATTGTTTGGTTGACTGACTGTGTCGTGGCAAGTGATCAAGGCATGTCAATCTGAGCAGCTCAGAGTTTTCGTCACGAGGCAGTCTCTCTTCAACAGTCTCCTGCTCACTTCGGAGTGCAGCTGCCGTAGCATGCCGCGCCGGCGGGGGAGAGACAGTTGCCATCGACCACCTTGCATTGGAATTGGACGCCTCCTGTTGAGATGAACCTCTTGCCACACAGCTCAAGAGGCACCGAGGTACAAGAGCTATCGGAATGCATGCTTCCTGCGCACTGGCCCGGCAGCTCTTTGCAACCTCCAAACTTGGCCCACACTAAGGTGCTCCTGTCACCCGCCCAGTTGCCACTGGTACTGCAGTCTGAAGCGTCGCCCCCGCCACAGAATGCCGCACTCAAGCCGATGCCGGAGCTGACGTCGTTGTGCGCTCTGGCCACCGGACACCCGCTGCCATCTCCTGCTTGCATGCAGAAGACGCAGCTCTGTCCACAGCCGGATGGGGGATTCTGTGGATCTGTTCGGCATTCCGGTGCCGGGTCCGCCACAAACTTGTTTGCGCGCATGAAGGCTGGAGCACGATCGCGGGCATTCCCGAAGGTTGTCTGCCATGAGTCCCAGTATGTCTTGCGGTTGAAGCCACCCGCGGTACTCATCTTGACATCATTGGTGGTAATCAGCTTCTCGGGCGTGTCTGATTTTTCAAAATGCACCTCAGACGTGCCAGTGCTTGTCTGCAATCGGATTGCAGTGACGCCCTTGAGCTTGTGAAAGGCGATACTCTTGGCGTCATAAGATTTGTGAGCTGGCATGCTGCTGTCCAACATCCTGTCAGGATTCCAGGCCTGGCCATCCGTCCACCTGGAGCTCCCATGGCAGAAGTCGTTCTTGCTCAGCTTCATGACCAGCGCCCACATGTCGCCGCCAGCATCCTTTTTCACGTACACCTTCCCAACGTCCGTGATCTCCATCACAGGACTGGGGACACTGCCTTCCAGGAAGTCGAATTCGTTGTTCAACCACTGTAGGGGGAAGGGTCATTGGGAACTGGCCATGCACATGCATCCTATCACAATGAACCAGACTGCTACATGAAAAAAACAACTTTCATTCTGACGATAAAGCTGGATCGACATAAGGAGCACTGCCACTTCTGCGCGTTGTTCCTAAAAAGGGGTTGGCTTGCAAAAATGTGAGCAGCAAGCAGCCAGCAATGTGAAAGGAAAACATCCCTATGTCAGCAAATACTCCACAGGTGGTTACCCAGAAACCAAGTCAACGTGCATGATAATCGCAATGACTCAAGTTGTAGGCTGTGCCAATTGAAACATGTGGTGAATGCATCCACCAGCGTCTGCCACCGTCAGGCACCGGCACAACTAAACGCAAGTAAATGAACGGACTTTGGGGTGGTCGCAGGTGAACGTTCGCTCATTCTGTTCAAGGGGCCAGCAACGAGCGCGGTGATTCTATGCGCTGCGTGCCTGAGTTTTCGGAGAGCTGGGCCCACACCAGCGTCCTCCGGTCACCGGCCCAGTTGCCACTGCTGCTGCAGTCTGAAGCGTCGCCCCCGCCACAAAATGCCGCACTCAAGCCGATGCCGGAGCTGATGTCGTTGTGCCCTCTGGCCACCGGACACCCGCCGCCATCTCCTGCTTGCATGCAGAAGACGCAGCTCTGTCCACAGCCGGATGGGGAATTGTGTGGATCTGTTCGGCATTCCGGTTTGGGGTCAATCACAAACTTGCTTGCGCGCATGAAGGCGGGAGCGCGGTTGCGGTCGCTCCCAAATGTGGACTTCCATGAATTCCAGTAATTCAGGGTGTTGAAGCCACCCGCGCTGGAGATCTTGACATCATTGGTGGTAATCAGCTGCTCGGGCGTGCCATGACCATCAAAATACACCTCCGATGAGCTCCCACTGCTTGTCTGCAATCGGATTGCAGTGACGCCTGTGAGCTTGTGAAAGGCAATGTGCTTGGCATCATACGCTTTGTGAGCTGGCATGCTGTCATCCAGCATCTTGTCGGGGTTGAAGGCCTGGCCGTCCTTCCACTTGGAACTTCCATGGCAGAAGTCGTTCTTGCTCAGCTTCATGACCAAAGCCCATTTCGCACCACCCTCTTCCTTCACGTACACCTGCCCCAGGCCAGGCATGTTGACCAACTGTCCCCCTCCTGAAGCCTGTGACAACAGGCTCGTGTTGCGAGGCACATTTGCGACAAGCTTGGAAGCAAAGCCAACGTTGAGGAGCGCAAGGAATAGCTTCATTGTCGGGACGTTCAGAGCTTCAAATTGATCGAGCCACTGACAGCCACTGCAAATGCCGGTCTGCAGTACACAAAAGCCGCCTTGCGTTCCATCCTTATTGCCCTTGCAACGCAACATGACCTTGCTCAACACAAGTTCCTAGCAGCTGGCAGAAATTATGATGTCGCAGCTGCAATGCAGGGCGCATTAAGATCATAGCGAATCAATCTGACTCATGGCGTCAGCATGCGGCCCTCGCCTTGCTCACCGAGCGCTGCAGTGATACTGACCTCGGGCCAAGTGAATCAGGCAACTCAAGTCGTGGCAAAAGTTTGTTCAGAGTATTTGTTTTTTTTGCGGCACCGGTGAGGCTAAGTAACCTCGAAGGCTATGTATCGCCAGGCCCCCGAACGAGATCTGGCAGGGGAAGTCGCTGCAGCAAGGGTGGCCGGAGCTTGGAAGCCACTGAGGTGACCTGCGCCCGTGTCTTTTCGCATGTCACTGGCTTTATCAAAGTCACCCCTGTGATGGAAGGAAACAATCCCAGTTTCTGACTTTGACAACCCCAGAAACGGTCAAAATCATGACCCCAGTGTCACACGCAATACTTTGACCAATTGGCCCATGCCGATTCCTTTCGCAAAGTTTGCATTGCTAAATATTGACTTGCAGCACGTAGGAATAGCGAACCGAACCACAGTGAAGCTTTGCCGCTCTCAGGGGAATACCGAACCCCACAGACCTGCACACCAAAAAGGCCCGCTGGCAGCTAGCATGCTTGATGGATGGCCGAACAGGTTTGGCCACTCCTTTGGGCCGTTTCACCCCGTTTTGGGCGTCCGGGCTCTTGGTATTGACTCTGCAGGTCATCCAGACCAGTGCATTGGGAAATGGGGTCTGAAATTCGCCACACGCTTCTAAGCTTCTAAGCCTCTAAGCCCCTTGAAGCACACAAGCCTCTAAGCCTCTAAGCCTCTAAGCTTGTAAGCCTTTGCAGTCCTTGCGCCTCTAGGCCTACGCGCTCCTAAGCCTCTAAGCCTCTAAGCCTCCACGCCTTCCAGCCTCCACGCCCCTAAGCCTCTAAGCCTCCAAGCCTTCCAGCCTCCACGCCCCTAAGCCCCTAAGCCTCTAAGCCTCCAAACGCTTAGAGGCTTCGGCGCCTAGCAGCTTCGGCGCTTAGCGGCTTCGGCGCTTAGAGGCTTAGGCGCTTGGAGGCTTAGGCGCTAGAGGCTTAGGCGCTTAGAGGCTTAGGCGCTTAGCGCTTAGGCGCTTAGAGGTTTAGGCGCTTAGGGGCTTAGGCGCGTAGAGGCTTAGGCGCTTAGAGCTTAGGCGCTTGGAGGCTTAGGCGCTAGAGGCTTAGGCGCTTAGAGGCTTAGGCGCTTAGCGCTTAGGCGCTAGAGGCTTAGGCGCTTAGAGGCGGCTTAGGCGGCGCTTAGCGGCTTAGCGCTTAGGCGCTTAGAGGCTTTGGAGGCGGCGCTTTAGGCGCTTAGAGGCTTAGGCGCTTAGCGCTTAGGCGCTTAGAGGTTTAGGCGCTTAGAGGCTTAGGCGCTTAGAGGCTTAGGCGCTTAGAGGCTTAGGCGCTCAGAGGCTTTGGCGCTTAGCGGCTTCGGCGCCTAGCAGCTTCGGCGCTTTGCGACTTAGGCGCTTGGAGGCTTAGGCGCTTGGAGGCAAAGGCGCTGGAGGCTTAGGCGCTTAGAGGCTTAGGCGCTTAGCGCTTAGGCGCTTAAAGGCTTAGGCGCTTAGAGGCTTAGGCGCTTAGAGGCAAAGGCGCTTAGAGGCTTAGGCGCTCAGAGGCTGTGGCGCTCACTTCGGCGCTCAGCGGCTTCGGCGCCTAGCAGCTTCGGCGCTTAGCGGCTTAGGCGCTTAGAGGCTTAGGCGCTTGGAGGCAAAGGCGCTTAGACCTTAGTGGCTGACCAAGTGCTAAAGGTTTAAGCGGGAATCCACCGGATTTCCGTCTAATCTCCCTCCAGCACCTCTAAGCCTCTAAGCCCTGTAAGTCTTCCAGCCGCCACGCCCTTAAGCCTCTAAGTCTCCAAGTCTGTAAGCTTCTAAGCATTTCAGCCTCTGAGCCTGCACGCCCCAAAGCCTTTAAACCTCTAGGTCCGTAAGCCTGCACGCTCCTAAGCCTCTAAGCCTCTAAGCCTCTAACTAAGCCATCCAGCCTCCACGCTCCTAAGCCTCTAAGCCTCTAAGTCTTCCAGCCTGTCAGCTTCTAAGCCTTTCAGCCGCTGAGCCTGCACGCCCCAAAGCCTTTAAACCTCTAGGTCCGTAAGCCTGCACGCTCCTAAGCCTCTAAGCCTCTAAGCCTCTAAGCCTCTAAGTCTTCCAGCCGCCACGCCCCTAAGCCTCTAAGTCTCCAAGCCTGACAGCTTCTAAGCCTTTCAGCCGCTGAGCCTGCACGCCCCAAAGCCTTTAAACCTCTAGGTCCGTAAGCCTGCACGCTCCTAAGCCTCTAAGCCTCTAAGCCTCTAAGCCTCTAAGTCTTCCAGCCGCCACGCCCCTAAGCCTCTAAGTCTCCAAGCCTGTCAGCTTCTAAGCCTTTCAGCCGCTGAGCCTGCACACGCCAAAGCCTTTAAACGTCTAGGTCTGTAAGCCTGCACGCTCCTAAGCCTCTAAGTCTCTCAGCCCTGTAAGCTTCTAAGCCTTTCAGCCACTGAGCCTGCACGCCCCAAAGCCTTTCAACCTCTAGGTCCGTAAGCCTGCACGCTCCTAAGCCTCTAAGCCTCTAAGCCTCTATCTCTTAAACCTCTAATTCTAAGCCATCCATCTCCACGCTCCAACCTCTAAGGCCCAAAGTCTCCATCCGCCAACGCCCCTACGCCCTCTAAGTCTCCAGCCTGTCAGCTTCAAAGCCTTTCAGAAAGGCCGCTGAGCCCTGCACGCCCAAAGCTTTAAACCTCTATGTCCGTACCTAGCACTCTCCTAAGCCTCTAAGCCTCTAAGCCTCTAAGCCTCTAAGTCTTCCAGCCGCCACGCCCCAAAGCCTCTAAGTCTCCAAGCCTGTCAGCTTCTAAGCCTTTCAGCGGCTGAGCCTGCACGCCCCAGAGCCTTTAAACCTCTAGGTCTGTAAGCCTGCACGCTCCTAAGCCTCTAAGCCTCTCAGCCCTGTAAGCTTCTAAGCCTTTCAGCCACTGAGCCTGCACCCCAAACCTTTCACCCTCTAGGTCCGTAACCCTGCAAATACGCTCCTAAAGCCTCTAAAAGGCCCTCTAAGCCTCAAGCCTCTAATCCTCTAATTAAAAGCCATATCCAGCCTCCCCGCTCCTAAGCCTCTAAGCCACTAAGTCTTCCAGCCGCCACGCCCCTAAGCCTCTAAGTCTCCAAGCCTGTCAGCTTCTAAGCCTTTCAGCCGCTGAGCCTGCACGCCCCAAAGCCTTTAAACCTCTAGGTCCGTAAGCCTGCACGCTCCTAAGCCTCTAAGCCTCTAAGCCTCTAAGCCTCTAAGTCTTCCAGCCGCCACGCCCCAAAGCCTCTAAGTCTCCAAGCCTGTCAGCTTCTAAGCCTTTCAGCGGCTGAGCCCGCACGCCCCAAAGCCTTTAAACCTCTAGGTCTGTAAGCCTGCACGCTCCTAAGCCTCTAAGCCTCTCAGCCCTGTAAGCTTCTAAGCCTTTCAGCCACTGAGCCTGCACAGGCCCCAAAGCCTTTAAACCTCTAGGTCCGTAGCCTGCGCGCTCCTAAAGCCTACCTAAGCCTCTAAGCCTCTAAAGCCTCTAAGCCCTAAATTAGACCCATCCAGCCTCCACGCTCCTAAAGCCTCTAAGCCTCTAAGTCTTCCAGCCGCCACGCCCCCTAAGCCTCTAAGTCTCCAAGCCTGTCAGCTTCTAAGCCTTTCAGCCGCTGAGCCTGCACGCCCCAAAGCCTTTAAACCTCTAGGTTTGTAAGCCTGCACGCTCCTATGCCTCTAAGCCTCTAAGCCTCTAAGCCTCTAAGCCTCTAAGCCTCTCATTAAGCCATCCAGCCTCCACGCTCCTAAGCCTCTAAGCCTCTAAGTCTTCCAGCCGCCACGCCCCTAAGCCTCTAAGTCTCCAAGCCTGTCAGCTTCTAAGCCGTTCAGCCGCTGAGCCTGCACGCCCCAAAGCCTTTAAACCTCTAGGTCCGCAAGCCTGCACGCTCCTAAGCCTCTAAGCCTCTAAGTCTTCAGCCGCCACGCCCCTAAGCCTCTAAGTCTCCAAGTCTGTAAGCTTCTAAGCCTTTCAGCTCTGAGCCTGCACGCCCCAAAGCCTTGAAACCTCTAGGTCCGTAAGCCTGCACGCTCCTAAGCCTCTAAGCCTCTAAGCCTCTAAGCCTCTGCCATCCAAGCCTCTAAGCCTCTAAGTCTTCCAGCCGCCACGCCCCTAAGCCTCTAAGTCTCCAAGCCTGTCAGCTTCTAAGCCTTTCAGCCGCTGAGCCTGCACGCCCCAAAGCCTTTAAACCTCTAGGTCCGTCAGCCTGCACGCTTCTAAGCCTCTTAGCCTCTAAGCCTCTAAGTCTTCCAGCCGCCACGCCCTTAAGCCTCTAAGTCTCCAAGCCTGTCAGCTTCTAAGCCTTTCAGCCTCTGAGCCTGCACGCCCCAAAGCCTTTAAAACCTGTAGGTCCGTAAACCTGCACGCTCCTAAGCCTCTAAGCCTCTAAGCCCTGTAAGCTTCAAAGCCATCCAGCCTCCACGCTCCTAAGCCTCTAAGCCTCTGAGTCTTCCAGCCGCCACGCCCCTAAGCCTCTAAGCCTGTAAGCTTCTGAGCCTTTCAGCCTCTGAGCCTGCACGCCCCAAAGCCTTTAAACCTCTAGGTCCGTAAGCCTGCACGCTCCTATGCCTCTAAGCCTCTAAGCCTCTAAGCCTCTAAGCCTCTAAGCCTCTCATTAAGCCATCCAGCCTCCACGCTCCCAAGCCTCTAAGCCTCTAAGTCTTCCAGCCGCCACGCCCCTAAGCCTCTAAGCCTGTAAGCTTCTAAGCCTTTCAGCCGCTGAGCCTGCACGCCCCAAAGCCTTTAAACCTCTAGGTCCGTAAGCCTGCACGCTCCTAAGCCTCTAAGCCTCTAAGCCTCTAATTAAGCCATCCAGCCTCCACGCTCCTAAGCCTCTAAGCCTCTAAGTCTTCCAGCCGCCACGCCCCTAAGCCTCTAAGTCTCCAAGCCTGTCAGCTTCTAAGCCTTTCAGCCGCTGAGCCTGCACGCCCCAAAGCCTTTAAACCTCTAGGTCCGTAAGCCTGCGCGCCCCTAAGCCTCTAAGCCTCTAAGTCTTCCAGCCGCCACGCCCCTAAGCCTCTAAGTCTCCAAGTCTGTAAGCTTCTAAGCCTTTCAGCCTCTGAGCCTGCACGCCCCAAAGCCTTGAAACCTCTAGGTCCGTAAGCCTGCACGCTCCTAAGCCTCTAAGCCTCTAAGCCTCTAAGCCTCTAAGCCATCCAGCCTCCACGCTCCTAAGCCTCTAAGCCTCTAAGTCTTCCAGCCGCCACGCCCCTAAGCCTCTAAGTCTCCAAGCCTGTCAGCTTCCAAGCCTTTCAGCCGCTGAGCCTGCACGCTCCAAAGCCTTTAAACCTCTAGGTCCGTAAGCCTGCACGCTCCTAAGCCTCTAAGCCTCTAAGCCTCTAAGCCTCTAAGCCTCTAATTAAGCCATCCAGCCTCCACGCCCCTAAGCCTCTAAGCCTCTAAGTCTTCCAGCCGCCACGCTGCTTGGAGGCTTAGGCGCTTAGAGGCTCAGGCGCTTAGTCGCTTTGGCGCTTAGAGGCTTGGCTTAGAGGCTTAGGCATTTGGAATAGGGGCTTGGGCGCTTAGGCGCTTCGAGGCTTAGGCGCTTGGAATAGGCGCTTAGACGCTTAGAGGCTTCGTAGAGGCCCAAGTCGCAAGCCTCCACGCTTCCACGCCTCTCAGCCTCTAAGCGGGCGCTGGGAGCAGAGGCTTATAAGCTTAGGCGCTTAGAGGCTTAGAGGCTTGCGCGGCTGTTGATTAGTAGCAAGAGGCTTGGGCGCTTAGAGGCTTAGAGGCTTAGAGGCTTAGAGGCTTAGAGGCTGGTGTTGAAATAGGCAGACCCCTTCTCCCAATACAATGGGTCATCCAGATGCCACCAACGAAAAGCTCTGCACCAGAATGCAGAGTAAGACTCGGGTGAAACCCCTCTTTTGGAAAAGCTTGAGCACGCCGCACACCGCATCTACCCCTCCCCCCATGCTGCAGCATCAATACCCGACAGCAAGGCTTTATCTTGCTCAAGATCTCACAGAACGCTTGGCAAAGACCAACTTATCCACGTCAAGCCCGGCGTATGTTTTGCACGAGCCATACATCCCTGGCGACAGCGGTAGGCTTCAGCACCCAACGCCTTGCAACACAAAAAGGCAGGGCAACCAGTGTCTCAACACTATAGCTGCGCTGGCTTGAATAACTACAATCAAAACAATCATAATTCAGGTCCAAACACTTCAGCCTCAGAACGCCAAACAACAAGGCTGTTAGACTACAGCATGGGCATGAATCGCATTGGCCGCCTCCAAGTTGTTCTCTGCCAGCGCGAGCAGTATCTCTGCAGCGACTTGCCCATCAGCGTAGGCAATGCCTCGCATCTCCACACCTCCAGCGAGAAGCTTTGAAGGACCAACACCTGCCGCCTTCTGTCAAGAAGTTAAACACCGACCGGCTCTGTCATAGAACTGGACAGGGCCATTGAAATGTTCCAAGCATGGAATGGCAAAAACATCAGTCTTGAGAGCCATCCTCGCTTCTTGAGGCTGATAGGCCCCATAGGCACCTGTCAAAGTGGCAAGTAGCTGCAATGGCCGACTCACAACCCTTACGCAATAATATAGTCATGAACCGACCACAGCCAAAAGAAACGTTTTTGAATTGCAACACTGAAAGAGACTCATCTCGCAGCTGCCCATGCGGGGCCACTGACGTGTTCAGGCCGACTTCTGATAAACATAGCTCAACTTCGGATGTGTGAAAAACAGCATGCGGCACAATGGCTTTTGGTGCTCGGCAAATGGCACAAAGGGATACAAAGGGTCCCATGCTCACAAAATCTTGGGGGCTATGTGCGCCAGGCGTCGCTCTGATTTCTGGGTTAAAGCAAGCCCACAGAGCCCTCTAAACGCCGCCCGGTCGCCTGCCAAAGCTTCGACGATGGGCCGTGCGGACTTGGCAAGCCTCGCTATGGTGGGCCAGCGGCTTTCAGAGCCAACATCCCCTGAAGGCGTGTCCAGGGGTCAGAGACAAACGCATAGGCCCGAGCATGGGGACACGGGGAAATCGAGTCTTGCTGCCTCTCCCTGACCTTTCAAGGCTTTGGCGCATTTTGGCGCTAACCCACTGGTTTTCTCTGGCCAGCCCTCCGCCCTTGCCTCGCTGCAGTCCGCAGCGGCTGCAAAAGTACGCCAGGCTTCTGGTGCCTGAGTCCCGAGTATGCAAATGCATCCCACTCCGGTCCACTCTCAGTCCACTCCAGTGCCTCCACTGCACGTGCCCACTATATTACCGGTATTGCCGGCAAAAATGGCCACTAGCAGTCAGCGAAATGCGAGGCCCCGTGGCACCAATCTCGCGTCCACCAAACCATGAAACTCCTGGTCCAGAATATGCTCGTACCTGGAACGTGCAAAGCGGTTCTGCTTGCTGGGCCGCGGTGTGTTTATCCAGGCTTATTTTTTGTTGGCCTTGTTCTCTTCGGCAGGTCTCGAAGCAAAATTTGACCTCATTGGATCGAGACCTTTTGCAACAGCTATCTGGGGAACAAACACATCGGCCAGGTGAAGGGCCAGCGAAACCGAAGCTTCCGGGTCGCGAATCTGAGGCCGCCAGCTTCAGCAAAGGTGCCAGCGCCTCTCTCAGAGGCTCCGCCACAACCTGGCCCGATTTGGATCCATATGGATCCGGCACCAACCATCAACCTGGGACATGCCTGAAGCTCAGGCAAACCCTCAGCCCTCTGGGTCTTGCAAGAAGGAAAATGCCGACCGAAGGACACTGCTTTGTGCCAGCTCTGGGTGCAAGTGCTCACTGGTGGACATTTCCTGGGGGCCAACCTCCTAGATGCACCAGAAAGTGATGCAAGAAAACAAGCGGCATAGCTGAGGAGAGCACCTTCCAGTTCAGGGGCAAATCCAGCAGGTCCGGCAACATGCCTAGCCTCATCGCATAATCAGCGCAGTCAGCAAAAGGCATATGTGCGTGGACAAAGAACAGGTCCAAACAGTACAACGTTACCACCAACGCATCAGCCCAAACACAATTCATGTTGGTGGCTCACGCATTGTGCAGCACCTGAGGTTCGGACGAGACTTCTTCAGGCGCATGCCGCACCCCTCGGTCGCACTGCATGCGCTTCCGGCCGCCAAACGCACCCGCATGCAAAGGACCTTACCGACCAATAAATAACAAGGCCTTACCACTGGGGGCTGACCAACAATCAATAATGAATGAAACGCAAGTAGCCAAACATCTCCAGACCATGCACCAGGTCGACGGCAATAGCCCATGGTCTCCTTTCGGGGTATCTCTGGCAAGCTCTGCCTGGAGAGCAAAGTGGCAGTGAAGCAAAAAGACACTTCCAGTGACAGGGAGCCACGAGCACGGGCATCTCCCTCACAGTTGCCAGCTGGTGCAACCCAAATGCATCGAAAGAAACCATGAGTTGTTTTGTTGAGGTTCGTTTGGAGGGAAACACAGGCAACCGCCCAATTAGGTGGTTCTCCCCTATGACAGCAAGCATAGCTCCAGGCAAGCCATGCCTCGCAAACGTCGCGCGGCGCCGGGGCCGATGAGCTCTGAGGCGCTGGCGACTGCCGATGAGCTCCGAGATGCTCTCCGCGGCCGCCTTGCAGGCCTTGGCCCATCTGCAAACGAGTCTGTGCTGGTTAGGCGGTGGGGTCGGTGTTAGTGGCGGAGGAACAACGGCAAAACAGTACAGGTTTTACGGAAACCGTCATATGCCTTTTTTTTTAAATAAAAGCTCAATACATGTGACAGTGCTCCGGAGTGATGCGCAGTCTCATGCGTGGCAAGTGGACCAAAGAACCAGTTTTTGGTCCAAGTGCGAAGGTCAGCTAGCTGTTGCTTCTCTCAACCAAGAGCCTGGCGGAAACAAGCTCTTTCTCGACATCTGCCTTCTCCATGGCGGCCACATCCTAGGCTGGATGCGTGTTGCTTGGAATCTACGAAAATGGCTGGACTCTTGATCGTTTTCAAATGCTCTGGGGGTCGTGAGGCAGGTGTTTACACGTCCATGAGGCCCGTCTAGTCCGTGCACCTCCCCCCTCGGCAACAAAGACTGCACGGCTGCTCCATGCCGCCGAAGCCTTCGCACCCCCCACCCACCCCCCCCCGCCCCGCCTTCTGCATGGTCAGCAAAGTTGACATCTGCAGCCTTGGCAGAAAGTGCTTTGAGATTCAAGTGCCGCCATCCTATATTCACCCAGACCGCGCGCCAGAGCCGATGGTGCTGGCAAAGCGAATGTGAAAAGAACAAGTTTGGTGACCACACACACACACTCACACCCTTCCGTGGCACATGAAAAGCAAGGACTGGCATTGTGGTCCAACTGGTTTCTGTCGTTTTGTCACTGCTCTGCCACAGCTCATTTAAAGGCAAGCTAGGGTCCGACCTCTGGCAAATGAGGCCAGACACCGGCACCCTCACTGGACCAAAGGCGACAAAGCCTGTAGCAAGGATGATCTTGTGGTGCCATCATTGGGCCGAGCCTGGAAATCAAATATCCATCGACTTGAAGTTTCCTTCAACGGGTGGATCACCCAGTGAACATGTTCTATCTTTAGCGCTGGCAAAACATGACCCCAAAACCGGTCGCCCCAAAAGCTGGGTCAGGCGTCAGCTTAGATCTACTCCTTGTAAAGCTGTGGCTCGCGGCGAGGCTTCTCGCCGCTTGTCGCGTTTGCCACCTTCGCCCAGGAGGACGGGCCTTGGTTGTTCAAAACAAGAGGGCTCTTCACCTCACCAAGGGTAGCAGTGCATGTCTTGCTTTAGTGTCTTAGGGCAACCCCTTTTCAGATACTTCAAATGGAAAATCGACAACTTTGCAGTGGCCAAAAAGGAACGAGATGAAAGATCCCAAAGTACATGAACGACACCTCCCAACGCAAGCCACACCTAAGAGCTCCACAAAGTGATTAGGAAGCGTCTGCGAGCTGCCTCGGCAACCGCCAGGCTTGAAGGTGACATGGGCAAACCATGTGCAATGCAGGCCATCTGCCAGCCATTTTGGTTGGCGCCAACTGCATCCGGCAGGCTAGTCAACTATCATGGGAGCCGCAGGCGCAACATTTCGTGGCGCCACGTGTTAGCCGGGCATGTTGATGGGAGTGCCAAAGCAGGTTTGCAAGCAAAGCGGCCAGGGTAGGCTCTAAATTCGCTTGCTCCCACGACGGCACTCGGGCCCCCGAGCGGTCAGGTCCCGCAGTTTCTCAGGCGCCTTGAGATCACGGGAATCCGTTAGCTTGTAAGAATCCTGTTTAAACAGGGTGGCAATGCAGCACTTACCAAAGCCGGCAGGTGGCTACACGAACCCCAAAACAAGCCAGCAGACAACTGAACACCTCATGGCGGGCACTTTGAATTCACCAGGAAGGGGTGCCACTGCATATCCATCAAGTAAGTTGTTTCTTCGCGCTGAAAAGAGAAACTCGACCTATGGAATGTCATGTTTGCTGCTGTGCACATATTGATGAATCAGGGTTAGCCATTGGCCTCAATGACGGGATCCTTGGTCGACCAACCAAGTACAAGGGCCTGCTTCAAACAAGAACCCAACCAGAAACAACTGTTAAAACCGCCCAGCTCCAAGAAAAAAGGCGAACCACGAAACCCAACTGCAGCTGACCCGCGAAATGCCAATCTCATCCTGAAAATGGTGCAGCAGCTGATCGGGAAATACAAATATATATATATATATATATATAAATACCGGCGCCGAGACCAAAGCAGAGCCCAGCGGACATAAACAAGCACTCAGCTGGCCAGGTTAACTTTTTGAGTGCAGTATGCCAATCATATGGAAGGTTACAAGCACTTCAAAAAATACTTAACGGTTCGGCCCACCTGTTGCCTCTTGCGTGTCAAGCTTCCGCCCCTCGTGCCTCCGACTTCTCGGCCAAGCGCCCCAAGGCAACCACTGCGGCGCTGGGTGTGAGCTGGGCCTGGCTGACACGCCACGACTCAAATGCCCAGCGGCCATCCTTTTTTGGTTGAGTTTAAAGGGAACCCTTCCCAAACAAAAGGAAAAAGGGCACCACTGGGCACCTGGGATGAGAATCGAACCGGGCAAGAAAAAGCACAGGAAGGGAAAGCTGACCTCTTGCGACCGTCAGTGAGGCGGAAGTTAAGTGTTGCAAGCGTCGCATTGCGACCCATGGGCACGACGAGGCTGTTGCCTAAAACAAGGCGCGGTGGCTAGCTCATCCCCATTGGCATCCAAGAGCAGCTTAACCTGAGTTGAGCGTGCGGGCGTTGCAACAGTTTGCACGGTGGGCAGCCAAACAGCCTCAAGCGAAGCCAATGGGCGTGACAGCTACCCCCATGTGGGCCACGTCTTCAACTGCTTCATGCGGGGTGGCATTTGGGGCTGTGGAGGTGTGAGAGGCCCAAAATGCCTTGGACCCAGTGCCCAAGCGCCAGGCGGTTGCCATCTGGTTGTGCGCATTGCCTAGGCGCATGTAATACAGGCTCAGTGGTGGCGTGCGAAAGTGTAAAAACCGGCCCGGGCAAAGCCTGTCGAACGCTGCGCAGAAAAGAGCCGACAGGCTCGGATGCGGTGGATATTCGTCTTGTTTCAAGGCACGTCGTCCTGAATCAGATATTATCCTATTGATCCGAATGCATCTTTGAAAGCAGTGAGTCACTCTTGGAACTTTCCACTGGCTTGCAAGTATGTGAATTCCACATGTCCCACGTCACAACCAGGGCAATCACCAAGGCTATGTGCAAACAAATGTCCAACCATTCCTTTACCAGATGGGAGGATTCATGTATAAACATATGGCCCACAGCTCCAGAGAAATGGTGAGAAAGCAAGGAAAGTTCTGACTCGCACCCATGCCGATGGCTGGATCAAGCCACAACCAATTCACCTAGCGCTGTAAAAACCGAAGGGCACACTGCAATCCCCCAAGCAACTCTTCCTGCATAGGTGGCGTAAGCAAAACTCAGCTCATGCCATGAGATACCAGCATCCAATTCTTCCAAATCGAGTCAAAGCTCATGCCATATCGGCAGCGCGCATCACCATTTTGCCATGGCCCTCTCGCCTTCAGCTTCCCACCCTGCGACCGTTCTGAAATCTGCACCTAGCCACACACATCAAAAAAACACAAGCTGTTGTTGCTGCTGCTGTTGTTGTTGTCGTTGTTGGACACAAGTCCTCAGGCTACTGATGGCTCCTACTGGAGAAATTGGGTGTTGCGGGTGGTGCAGTGGCTGTGCAACCTGGGCAACGGCAAGCCATGCGAAAGGCTCAAGGCCTCGTGGCAAACAGGAGCGGGGAGCGTTCACGCGGAGTGAGCGCCCAATCGAAGTTCCCGGGCATACTCCCTTCTCCCTAAGGGCATTCGTACATAGCTTCCCCAGAGCCCAAAGGGTCGAACTTTCAATCCCATGTTCTAAGCCAATGCTAAACTGACCCATTCCTGGCTCAACATTGGCCACTTTCCCCCTGATGAAAGTGTAAAGACAAGTAAGGCCAAACTCTTTTTGACCTGTCCCAAGCACATTTGACTTGCAGCCCCGGTACTCAAATCTGCCCCGTGGGCTCCTGTGTGCCGTTGCTTTATCTGGTGAAACCGCTCGATTCCGAGGCGTTCTGTGGCATGTTCCGTTGCACATGTGTATGCGTGCTGGGCCGTCCGGACTGAACTAAGCAGCATGGTCAGGTCGCAAGACCTTGAGTCCAGTTCCTTTCTTGTCCCCTTCCGCTGCCTGCTCTGTCATAACTGCCAAAAGGAACAACCGGCATCCTTCGCACAGTTGGGAATACATTTATATTCCGTGCAGCTTTTCCCATTGGCGTTGTCTTGTTTGGTTTCAGGTGGTGGCCAGCGTGGCGGAACACTGCATTGAATTTACCACATGGAAGACCGCTCTTCCAGCCAGGCGCGCGCAGTTGATGCCCCCGCGCGTCTCGTTGGGCATATGTCTTTTGGATCAGGTGACCGCCCTACAGTCAGAAAACGCATGGATTGTTGGAACCACCCGTGTTCAGGGTGGCACATGGGAAATCAGGCCCATTTATCCTTGCGTCCAAGACCAAAGACAAAGTGCTAGTCAGGATCCAAAAGCTCTGTCTTCTTTCCTTTGCGCAGAAAAAAACTCACTGCCAGAAGCCAATCCGGGGGTGCAAGTGAGGGTTTGACAGATCGAACCGCAGCACAAGCAGCGAATGACCACGGGCAACCGTACGGAAAGGACAACCAGGGATTGCACAAACGCACAAATGGATGCCAAAGGGCTGAAGTGCATGTTGTTTGCAGGGAACGCACAAAGGCCGCACTTTGGTCACTGCGTCTTCGGCTGCCCGGGTGAGACGGTCTCAATTTTCCCCGTCGCTAGAGCCAAGGCTGCTCCCTGTGGACATGCCGCTGGCGGAAATACTGCCGCTGGAGCGGATGGAGTCGCCGTTGGAACCGCCTGGCCGAAACAACCAGTGAAAGCACTCAACAAGTGACACGTTGACCAAAAACTGAATTTTGGGTCCTCCTCTTAGATGGGAAAAAGCAGGCCTGTTACCCGTTTCTCCTCTCTTCAAACCTGCAAACAGCTGAGCTTGCCAAGCGTGGGTTGAAGCCTGTCCTTCTGATCGACTGCGAAAACATGCGAAAACACAGTTGGGTGGTTCAACAGCCTTTTGCTCAACTGCAGCATGGCAGCTGATCAGACTAGAAGTCAGTTCGACGCTGTTCACAGGCGGCAATCGATGTTTGACGAGCTCATTGAGCTCTGAATGTGCCGCTTCCACTTAGAGGATGTTTGGAAATATGCCCGCGCAATTATGGCATCAACAAAGGAAAGCAAATAGCAAGCTTTGGCTACTGTCACCTCAACTCCCTGCCCTTCGTGCACCAAAAGCGAGGCGGCGCAATTACAAACCGACCCTGGTGATGCAAACAGCTTGCGATGAAACAAATAGCATGTGCCTGCTGCACACGCAAGAATACAAAAAATAACACATCAAATACACAAAAAACATGGGACAAATAAGTATACACCACACACTCGCACGCACACATGCAGCAAGCAGCCAACACAACAAACATGAAACAGCAAGCAACGTACAGCAACTAGGGGGCAGCAAACAGCAAACAGCAAACATCATCCAGAAACTAGCAATAAGCAAACAGCAAGCAGCAAATCGGCCTACAAAAGCCAGCAACCAGGACATACCAAGCAGCAACCAAAGCACAGCCACCGGCAAATGTCAACTAGCAAGCAGCCAAAAGCAACCCAAAACTGGCCAAAGGAAGCAAAATCCCTTTGATCAAACGTGTGCCCGTAAGGATCCATAGTCCCGCCTTGGGAGGATGGACCTCTGCCTTGTCGTCTTCTCACGGCCTTTTCCAGCAGGTACTCGATGTGTGCCAGGCGCGTCTCTCGGGTGTCCTGGCTACACAGCGCTTTGAGACTCACAGTCCGTGGGTTGCGGAGTTCGAATGGGTCTGGAAACATGGTTGCATAATGAGCCTGCTGTGGCATTGGAGGCTGACCAACGTGGGCCAATCCTTCTGTTGGCGCGTTGAATCTGGCCATTAAAAAATCAATCTATTGATCAATATTGCATTTCTCAGATTTCCGGGTCTCCATACTACCTTTAGAATAGGCCAATTCTAAAGCAATACACAACTGTTGGATTTCTCGCCCAGACCAGCCCCAGCCTCATTTGGGGGGTAGCTACCAAACCAAAGCTCCTTGCACTAGCCCCATGCCAGAGTTGAACAACAGCAAGGCCCCTCTTTCCCTTTACACTTTGTACTTCAACCAAATGACAAAGTAATACTTTTGAACCCTTTCCAAAGGAGATGCTCACTCGTATATCGAACTTGCCATAGTTGAAAAAGTCAGGGTCACATGTTCCTTCGGAGTTCTGCCTCTCTCAAGCTAAGTTGTATCAACTACGTCTATTTCAGCAACAGACAAGACATGGGCGCAATGTCTTGCATTGCCTATGCATTTCCCTGCCTGGTCTGCCTGCTTCAAACTACATTGGGATTCCGAACCACAAAGTTTGAACAACCCTAAATAGGCCGTTCCAAGGGATGAATAGTTGCTTCTGGGGGGAGCTCACCTGGCCCCGAATTACCCTATTAATGCATATTGTTTGCCCCCCACACAATGTTCACAATAGGGGTTGGGGGTGTTTATTTTTTCAGGGGGGAAGGGATTATTAGGCACGGTCCATTGACAGGCGGACAGCAAATCGATGCTTTGAGAAAACAATACCCGTTCATGAACACCTGATTGGAGGATGTTGGAGGTCTTGCGACATTTGCTGCGCAGCGCGCGCTGGATGACCAGCTTGCAGTGCGCAAAGGATATTCAATGCGAGGAATTCCGCTGGAGACTCGCTACTTCTCCCGATGGGTGTGGTCCACCATTGCTGAAGCATTCCACAAAGCGGCCACGGAAAATGGATGTTAAAGTTCCAAACAATCGACTGAATCTGTGACACCAGCAGCCAACACCAGGACTTTCGCAATATGACCAGAGCCAAACAAGTCTTGGTCACCCGTAGAAACCGGGCAATACGACATCGGATCAAGGTAAATCCCTCATCCCACAACTGGCAATTGAAGCGGGTTGGATCTCGGGAATCGTTGCTGTTGATGTCTCGGTGATGGCAAATTCCTTCACCCCGAACCGTGTCGCTCCTCGTGCTCTGCGTTGCGTCGCTGCCGCTCCTCGGGCCACGGGGCCTCTGGAGCTGTGGTGCCTCCGTAGCGCTTGATCTGCTCCTGCCCGGAACCGCTTGATTGGCCAACTGGCATTCACAACCTTTTTGCCATGTTTGCTATAAGGAAGGCGTCCGCAGAAATGGTTTTGCAACTTGGCTACCATTTTTTGACGCTGGAGAGCAACCGCCCACGTATTGCTTGAGTTGCCCTAGGCAGTTGCAGGGTTGGTTTAGGTTGGGCTTTAGCTGGCTTACGGTTGGTGTTGGGTGTGCCTAGGGTTTTGTTAGGGTGATTTGTTGGTGGTTTCGGGATTGTTTAGTCCTGCTCAGGTGGGTTTAGGGTTGGGTTAGGGCTCGTTCAGGGTGGCTTTTAAGGTTTAGAGTTGGTTTTTAGGATGGGTTTGGGGTTGGTTTCAGGTGGGTTTGTGGTTGGTATAGAGATTGTTTCGTGCGGGTGTAGTGGGGGTTTAGGGTGCGGATGTATTTGCGGTTGGAGCTGGGGTTTTGTGGAAGTTTAGAGCTGGTTTAGGGTGGCTCAGGATAGTTTGGTGTTGGGTGTTTAAGTGTTTAAGTGTTTGGGTGTATGGGTGTTTGTGCGCGTGTCTGGGCTTGGGTGTTGAATTGTTGTGTGCATGCTTTGGTGTGCGTGGATGTTTGGCAAAGCTACTTAGTTCGTGTGGTTTGCCATCTTGCTAGGTGCAACGAATCAAAAGTGATTTCAAGGAAACAAAAACACACACCACCATTCCTTCGGACCTACCTGCGTC